TCTCACTCCATGCTTTTTTCCCACTGTTCAGCACTAATTCACTAGTTCAGATATATTGTATATAATAAATAAGTTATTTATCTTACTGCCCTTGCAAAGATGGTCTAATTTTGTGGCCTGTGATTTTTTAAAATTAATTCTCTAGGATTTTCTGAAAGTTCTAAATTATTACTGATTGAGGGGATTTGGGAAATGAGAAATCAGGTTATTATGACACCATTAATTCTACACACATTAGAATTTTATTTCTTACATTCTGTCGTGTCTGAGTTTAGAGACCAGAGGAAGGGAAGAGACGTTGGAGGTTAGTGAGGCAGCCAAATGGGCTCTGGCTTGGTGGTTCTGTCTTCAGAAGATAAGATTTTTAAGATAGTCAGTCTGCATTATGTAGGAATGATTTGTGGTATTAGGGGTTCCTGGAGTTCAGGGAAATTTTGCTTTATTGCATACAATAGAAGGACTCATTTGATATTTAAAAAAGATTTTTAATGCAATTAAAAACAAATCATTTGTTATGGCCCAGGAGGAGATAATCTACTGCCATATTTAAACGTCATGGTAAATATGAGCCTCATACAGAATTTAGGCTTTCAGGAAAATCTCAATGAAGACTGCTGCCTGAAATTATATGATATATATGTTAAGAATATGGCACTATCACATTCTTATTTACAGATATTTGAATTTACTAAACATGTCTTAATTCTTTATTTACTTATTTACACAAACCTATTTTTTACACAGTAATGTGGTCATTTGATTGTTCTTTGCATTTTTGGTTTCAAGATGACTCAAGGAGAACTGCATCTAGTGCTGTAACAGAAACGGGTCCTCCTGCAATGCTAAGGTCCCCTTCCTGCCGCCCCCAGCACTTGCCCTGTGGAGGGTCAGCACAGAACCACCGTGCATTAGGACACCCCCACAAACGATGCTCTCCGGAGCAGGGCCACAATTTCCACCATCATCCCCACCCCCATCACACTCCCACCCCTGCTGCTCCCGCCTCTCCCCCCTTTAGTCACCCTCCCCACCCTGTGGAAAGGCCTCCACAGGCACAGCCACCTTGGGGAGCAAACAGCAGTCCTGGTACCAGCTACCACGACCAGGTATGTGGAATTTCATGAGCTTTTCTTTATTTTTAAAAATTGTGGTTCCTTTAGGAGGAAAGAAAAACCAACCCCATGAGAAATTGTGTATAATTATTTTTCTTGCTCTTCTTGCAAAGATGGCCTAATTTAGTGCCCTGTGATTTTTTAAAAATTAAGTCTCTACAATTTTGTGAAAGTTCTAAATTATTACTGATTGAGGGAGCCAGGGATTTGGGGAATCAGAAATTATCACTATTTTTAATATTAGAATTTTAATACTGCTTTTTTTGTTTTTAGTTAAATACAGATGAATTGATCCCTGAGATATTATTTCAAATAAAGTATTGAAATTTCAGTGTTAACCTGATTAATAAGAAATTGGGAAAGTTCCCTGTTTTCTTCCCCCTCTTCCACCTGTTCTGGAGCTCCCTGTAATCTACACTCACCTAGAAATAAGTAGCCTTCTCAGATGCAAACCTGTGACATAGTTTCTTGGGAGCAGATAAGGTTTTTAGTTTACAGGGAATTGAAATGCCAGCAACAAATTATAATTAATCAGTGCATATTATTAGTGAGTGCTGGAAAGGTCAGATAATACTGAATTAGTATGGGGTGAATGAATTCATTTTTATATGCTATTTTAACTTTTGTTGTGTTATGTCTGGGTATAATTGTGATAAAACCTGGATGGTATATACTTTAAAAAATGAAGGGTAATTTCAAGGTAAAGTTGTAATTGACATACGTGCTAGAAGAAAGTCAAAAAGAAAATTCAAAGAAGCTGCTTTTCTCTTACCTCGTGACCTTGCCTAATATACTTTCTTCATCTCTTAAATTTTGAGGTTCTGTCTTCTGGATATAACAAATTAAAAATAATTAAGAACTAAGGGTATTCCCTATAAAAAAAGTAGTTGCTTTATAAGAAACTTAGAAGAGTTTTTTAGAAAATATGATTTAAGGAGATTTTTAGGTGATGTTTTGATTCTGGTAACAGTTCTAAATATTAGCATCCACTGATCCTCTAGACCTGTTCCCTCTTGGGAATGAGGAAGCAGCAAGACAAATTTTTCAGTCTGAATTAAAGGCCTTGCTTAGAAGCAATAATTATTTACTGGAAATTTGAGCTGAAAGGAAGGTTCATGAGTAGAGTAGGAAAACTGTGAGGAATTGGACCTACCAACTCTAGCACATTCATTTAAGAGCTGCCAAAAGGTGCTCCTTTTGTTCACAGAATATCGTTGTTGCTGAAATTATGAAATACACAGCTGGTTTGAGAGATCATTTGTGTATGCAGCATTTCTATCTGAGTTTATTACAGGTAGAATCTCTTTGATGGTTCTGCTCATTATGAAATTAATGTAACCTATTCACCTGACATTAAGTAGAGATATGCATTTGGATCGCACACTAAACTTGAGGAGAGTCATCAGTATTGATAATGGGTATAAAGGTGAACAGAGAGTGATGTTTTGAAGGTAAGAACAGTTTGAGACCCATACGTTTGGCAGACTCTGAAATTAGCCACATGCTCATGAGATAATTTCAGACAGTCTCCAGGGGAGACCTCTGCGAGCCCAGGAGGAGGCTGAGGAGTGGGGGAAGGAAACTGTTCTGAGGATCTGTGATCATGTAGGTATTTTACGATTAAGTGCCAGATTGTAGATAGGCAGAGAAAGATTGGGGAGGATTAGGCTTCAGAACAGAGAAATCACACCGGTCACCTGACTCTCAATAGCCCTTCCTTCTCCTTCGGAGGTAGTTTTCTCTTTTGAGCAAATAGTTCAGTTAGGGTCGTGCATTGCTTATCGTTTATGTAAAGTAGTATTTGTCATTCCTGTACCTACTTCGCTTATCCTCTTTTCCTTCGAGAATACGAATTGAATGAATTGTAGGAATTGAAAAGAAGAGGGTTCTCTTTGTGGTTTTTTCCCCTTTAATTTTTATTATTTGCGTTTTCTTTTATCCTCCCTTCCGTCCAGGACCCTCACCTGACTGTCCTCCCGCTCTGGCGGTGCTCTCACTCCCTGCAGAAGCGATAGGAAATTTGCTCACCACCACAGTCTGTTGATGCTCTAATTCATTTCCCGAATTTTAGCCACAGTAGGAAAATAGGGAAAGAATTATGAACCATACACGTAAATTCACAACCTCACAATCTTATTTTTAAACTCTATTCCCTGAATTAAGGTCATATGTTGTATTTGCCAACTCAAAAGTAAAAGGCCCCATGTTTACTTAATTGATTATGGACGATTCTTCCATACTATATTAGAAAAAAGGGGCTCTTTCTTTTCACCCCTACAGCTTCTCCTGTACCGTCATCCCCCTTCCCTTTGCACCCAGAGCTCCTCTTGTGTCTGTGTCCCCTGAGGAGTGTGGGGCCCATTAGAAATACAAAGGCCCCTGGGGCTCCTCTGAGGACCGCTAGGTGGCCTGGGCCTCTGGGAAATGCATCCGTCTAGCTGTCTCTGTCTCCAGCCCCTCAGCTTCCAGTATTGAACAATTCCTAAATATAATTTCATATAGAACATCAAATCTTTATTTTCTTTAATCACATTTTACAAATCAGCCATACTGGGCGCTGAACAAAAGGCTTGTATTTAAATTACTTAAGAATACAAAGAAGCAATTCTGTTTCTCTAATCTGTTACAGAGTAGAAGATACAAAGTGTATTTTACTTAAGAGTTTTCAAGATGTTTTTGGGGAAAAAGTTGACTGATGAGTAGATAGAATCTAGGCTCTGGTTTATTTTCTAACTTAGTAAATGGGTCTTCCCTGAGATCATATTCCCAACGAAAGGAATCAATGGTTTGATTATTTTTTCAAGTGTAAAAGGTGATGAGACAAAACGAATTTGTGGTTACTCTTGAATAATCTTATGTCCTTTGTTATCTTTGAACTATTAGAGTTTCCATTGAATGATTGTTAAGTACAGTTTAGAGATAGGACAGACACGTTTTTACCTAGAACCTTAATTTTTCAGTCATGTTGCTATATTTTCCCAAAGAATTCCTTGGTTACTACTCAGAATTTTGAGGTAAAGGAGACTATGGAAGTGTGATTTTAAAGTTGTTTTTTAAAATGTAGGTAATAGAAGAGATATAGACCTTAAAATAATATATTAATTAACTTTTGTTTGTCTAGTAACATGCGATTATGCTTGATTTTTAAAAGTTGATTATGGATTTTAAGTATATGGTCACTACAATTATTGCAATCCAAGATATGCATAGTATTTTCTGGTGCTTAGGTCTTCACATAGAAAATTTTGCCAATTTCAAAATCTTAAAGATTCTATTTTTCTATATTACATTAGGAGTACTTTTATACTATAACATGGAACAATGTTTTGACCAAACTTTAGAAAGATAAAAACAGTTCCTCTTTATACAGCAGGCATTGCCAGTAGACCTGAGCAACAGTGGCATCAGAAGTCATGGAAGTGGTGGTTTCCATGGAGCATCTGCATTTGACCCCTGCTGCCCTGTTTCTTCTTCCCGAGCTGCAATTTTCAGCCATCAGGCTGCTGCTGCCCCAAGTCAGCCATTCCCGATAGATGGTTATGGATCAAGCAGAGTTGTGCAGCCTCAGCCCTAGCCCCCACCACAAGCCTCACTCTCATCAGGTCAACATTATAGGCCACATCCTGGTAAGTATAAATTTAACAGGCAAAGAACTTAAAGGTGTATAAAATGAAGCATTGTACATCGCTTCACGAAATAGCCTTTCAGTAATCCTACGTCATAAATTTGTAATATTTTCTTGGCCTAAGACAGGGGTGTATTTTCCCATTTCATCATTCCTTCTCCTTGTGTCCCCAAAACACTCTTCTAAGATAAAAAGGGGGCAGAAGTTGTTTAAAAGGGTCAGGAAAATAAAAAATAAATAACATTTTGTTTATCTTACATTCTAATATTTACATTTTAATATCTATGAAGTTGAAGTACATTGAATGGCACCTCAGATTCTTATTAAAGGAAGTTCTAAGGAATATAGGTTTATCCTTTAGGAATAACAGGAAATTTGAGAGTTCAGCTGTTTCTAGGCACATGAAAGTAAATTTTGACTAAATTCTGAAGCTCAACTAAGGTGTAAGAGATTCCCTGACAGAAAGCTTTGCCAGTTGCAAAAAGGTTTCTATACTCATTTAATGCAAGCAGTTAAAATAGAGTCAGATGTGGCTTTTCAAAAGAAGTTGAAATCTATGAGAAATCTTAAGAAATGAGAAATACCTTTAGACCATGTAACATATTTACTACTTTGTGAAATCATAGGCTAAATAATCAAGTAGAACCTTAATACTTTGTTAAAAAAAAACATTGAAAAATCAGGAGTAATCCAAGACGTTATCAAAGAAATTTGCTTTTTTTCTGATTCTGTACAAGGAATAATTTTCAGTTATCTGTCTCCTTAGATTTGTAATTTCACTCCTGTAATTTTTAGAATCTGGGTTCTGCAAAAACAGTTGAAATCAACCCAGAATTTGTCCAGTAAAACCTAGTGAAACATCATTAACCTTTCAATAATGCCACTTAAAATTTTAAATGTAAGTTAAAACATTAGAAAATGAAACAATTCATTTTGCAGATCGTTGATCAATGGGCAAATTCAGTGTATGAGCCCTTGTGTGATGTACAGGCTAGTGTGTAACACTCGTTGATATTCATCTGTATATGTGATTATTTTTAAGTAGGAACTCAACATGTATGGTTTTTCTGCCCCTCCCTTTTAAAAATATTGTACTGAAGCAGTTTATAAGTAAATCCATTCCTTTTTCAATGTCCAAATAAAGAAATAAATGTTTTAGATTTAACTTGTTTTACTGTTATCATAAAACTAATTTGTGTGCATCCTAAGAAGTTCAACTGCAGAATGATGTGAGGTGAGAGGTTANATTTTCAAAATCTTAATTTAAAGATTCTATTTTTCTAGAATACATTAGGAGTACTTTTATACTATAACCTGGAGCAATGTTTTGACCAAACTTTAGAAAGATAAAACACAGTTCCTCTTTATACAGCAGGCATTGCCAGTAGACCTGAGCAACAGTGGCATCAGAAGTCATGGAAGTGGGGGTTTCCATGGAGCATCTGCATTTGACCCCTGCTGCCCTGTTTCTTCTTCCCGAGCTGCAATCTTTGGCCATCAGGCTGCTGCTGCCCCAAGTCAGCCATTATCGATAGACGGTTATGGATCAAGCATGGTTGCGCAGCCTCAGCCCCAGCCCCCACCACAAGCCTCACTCTCATCATGTCGACATTATATGCCACATCCTTGTAAGTATAAATTTAACAGGAAAAGAACTTAGAGGCGTATAAAATGAAGCATTGTACATCGCTTCATGAAATAGCCTTTCAGTAATCCTTCTTCATAAATTTGTAATATTTTCTTGGCCTAAGAGTGGGGTGTATTTTCCATTTCATACTTCTTTCTCCTTGTGTCCCCAAAACACTCTTCAAAGATTAAAAAGGGGGCACAGGTTGTTTAAAAGCATCAGGAAAATAAAAAATAACATTTTGTCTATTTTACATTTTAACATTTACATTTTAATATCTCTGAAGTTGAAGGACATTGAATGGCACCTCAGATTCTTATTAAAAGGAAGTCTTAAGGAAGATAGGTTTATCCTTTAGGAATAACAGGAAATTTGAGAGGTTAGCTGTTTCTAGGCACAGGAAAGTAAATTTTGACTAAATTCTGAAGCTTACCTAAGGTGTAAGAGATTCCCTGACAGAAAGCTTTGCCAGTTGCCAAAAGGTTTCTATACTCATTTAATGCAAGCAGTTAAAATAGAGTCAGATGTGGCTTTTCAAAAGAAATTGAAATCTATGAGAAATCTTCAGGAATGAGAATACCTTTAGGCTATGTAACATATATTTACTACTTTGTTAAATCGTAGGCTAAATAATAAAATGGAACCTTAATACTTTGTTAAAAAAACATTGAAAATTCATGCCAGGAGTAAACCAAGACGTTATCAAGGAAGTTTGCTTTTTTTCTGATTCTGTTCACGGAATAATTTTCAGTTATCTGTCTCCTTAGATTTCTAATTTCACTCCTATAGTTTTTAAAATCTGGGTTCTGCAAACACAGCTGGAATCAACCCAGGCTTTGTCCAGTGAAACATAGTGATACGTCATTTACCTTTCAATAATGCCACTTAAAATTTTAAATGTAAGTTAAAACCTTAGAAAATGAAACAATTCATTTTTGCAGAGCGTCGACAAATTCAGTGTATGAGCCCTTGTGTGATGTACAAGCTGTTATGTAACACTTGTTGGTATTCATCTTTATATGTGATTATTTTTAAGTAGGAACTCAACATGTATGGTTTTTCTACCCCTCCCTTTAAAAAATATTATACTGAAGCAGTTTATAAGTAAATCCATTCCTTTTTCAATGTCCAAATAAAGAAATAAATGTTTTAGATTTAACTTGTTTTACTGTTGTCATAAAAGTAATTTGTGTGCATCCTAAGAAGTTCAACTGCAGAATGATGTGAAATAGGATGTTAAAAGCCCTTCTCCCCATGTCCCATTAATCTTAATACCTCAGAGCAACTGTTTATAGCTTATTAGAAAGCCTTTCAGAAATTATTTTTGTACATACATATGTATCTCCTTTAAAAAAAGGGGATTGTATCACACATATTATTTGCCTCCTTTTGATTTTTTGATTTTTTTTAACCATACATTTTTTATTTTTTCTGTTAATACATAATCTAGCTAATGTTTTTGTTACCCTCAATATTCCATTGTATATTAAATCAGTCTTCTGTTGATGGACAGTTAAATTGTAGTTTTTGAGTCTGTAAGATAACTTTCTAGGAGTGAAATTGCCAGGTCAAGTTGCATGTTGATCTTTTTGGAAGGAATATCACAAACTTTTATTTTTCCTTGCAAAAATACATAATATAGGGAAGGAAGCAAAATGGTCTTTGGGAATGCAGAATAGGTCACATTCTGCAGTGGTTAGCAATCTGTTTTGTTTAGATGAACACTGAATTACAATGATGGGTGAAGTCACCTCACACAAAAGAAGGGTAACTATGCGAGGAATGGGTGTGTTAATTAACCTGATTGTGGTAGTCATTTCACAAAGTATATATATGTCAAATCATTTGTACACTTTAAATATTTACAATTGTATTTGTTCATTATACCTCAATAAAGCTGAAAAAAAGTGAAATGATTGTTGAAGAGTTAAATAAATTGATTCGTCCAGAAACAAAACTTTAAAATTTTATAATACTTGTGAATATTACTTCTTGCATAATTATTATAGAAATAGAAACATTTTAAGTGAAACTGGAAAAAATGCTGTGAATTTGAGGAAGAATAGTAACTGTGGTAAAACAGAGATACTTCCTTTTTTGTGACAATTTTTATTACCAAGAAATACTGAGCTTTGTGACATCTTAGAGTAAATCATTGATTTGAAAACATAACTTATAGAAAATATGTATAAAACTTTTTCTTACAACTTATTGAGCTCAGTGAAGGTTTCCTTTAAGATACTTACTAATGAGGTTTCCTTTGAAAATATGGCTGAATGTTTTCATGGTTACCTACCTTTTACCCCAGCTGAATGAATCAAAAGATTTAAAAATTGAAGGAAATCCTTCTGTAATGAAACTAGAGAATGGCCATAGCCTATA